GCCCCGCCCCGCCCCGCCTGGCCTGGCCTGGCCAATACACAATGAATGACCAATAAATAAGTCTGCCGCAAAACGCTCATACATGGCCCGTCGTCAAGTGAAACAATCCATTATGGAACCGTTGAGCCCCAACAAAGGCGAGATGCTGTGACTCTGTCCCCGGCTGCACGGCTCCCGGCTCCCGGTAATGAATGAATGAGTGAATGAATGAAAATTTGTTGCGTAATGGGGCAAGCCGATAAGAAAGTGAAAACTAAATGAGACAGAAGCACACAAATATATTGTAAAAAGTATAAACGTATCCCCTGGCCCCGGACGGACGAATGGACGGAGGGGCACAAAGCAATGCTCGTCTCATTTCCTGCCCTGTCTCCAGCCCCCAACCACCCAGTCCCCGCCACAGCCACAGCCACAGCCCTCGAGTGAAATTACGATTTCAAAAGCCTAGTCCGAGGGCCTGGCCAGCCATTAGGTTGTGGCCATTATGGCCCTGTTCTCGGGTCTCGTCTGGGCCCCAGACTGGACAGGAACCCGCAAACATCCTGTTGATGTCAGCAAATTTTATTTATTTGTGGTTCGTGTTGTATTACAGCATTTTAGAGCAATTAAAATTGTACAATGGCCGAATGCTCGGGTCCGATCCGATCCGGTCCGGTCTGGTCTGGTCTGGTCTGGTCTGGTCCGCTTTTGGCCGTTTTGCATGGCCCCAACACGAACCCAAATACAGGCCCAGTGCACGGGTCTATTTGGCCGCATTTTTTAGATCATTTAACGCTAAAGTGCCTAATGATATATTGACTTTGCCGGCCAAAGCCTCCTACGCTCCACCGCTCCACCGCTCCAGTGCCAAATGTTATGTTTCAAACTTTTACGTTTACGTTCCCTCCTAATGGCCCAAAGTTTTCGGCGGGGCAGAGATAGAGAGCGAGCATGGAATGGAATGGAATGGAATGGACTCTACGTTCGCCACGTAATTGCTCGCTGGAACTGTGAAAGTCGGAAGGTGGAAGGTGGAGAACTCATTAGATTAAGTGATAGCATTCCGCTTTATGGCCATATCTTGCCGCCGAACATCATTGGAAATTAGTTGACCCCAAAAGATGCTCAGGGGAGGAAGAGCAGGAGGCTGCGTTTTAAAATAATTGGCGAGGACTCAGGACTCAGGCAAGGACCGGGCCATATCTTGTCGAATGGGATAGGCTAGGCGTTGTCAATGCAAAGCTGCCCTGGTCCAGGTCCATTGTTCTGCAGTTGGCCTACATAGGACTTCCCTTCTGCTGTCGCTGCCCTTATGCTCCTCTGTAGGGGCCGGTGGCATTGTTGTTGTTGTTGCTTCTACGCTAACAAGCTTACTACCAGATGGCTTACGGGCTCATTCCCCAAATGCTAGCTAGAGAGAAAAGCCCGTGGGGGAGAGAGAGAGAGAGAGAGAAGGAGAATGGAAAGGGGCGTTTCATTTCATTAAAGTTTCAAGGCGTACAACGCGGCGTATGAGTGATACTAAAATGAAGAAGAAACAGCAATCCCACGGATGCTTGGGAAATGGGACACATTCTGGGCACTCGACGACCCGACGAGTCGACTTCTTCCCCAGGCCACGTATGGACTCTAGCAGTAGCAGTAGCCGTTGCCGGGGCACAATGTGCAAAAGTTGTAAAATTTGTTAAGGAAACACATACACAAGCACCCACACACACACACACACACATGTACTACAGAAGGACCTGTCGAAATGTCTTGGGGTGTGGCAGCCGCGACAAGTACGTTGGTCGAGTGGTTCTGAGGCAGGCACTCGCAGTTATTGGGGAGCAATGGGCTGTAGCTCTGTAGTACTGCAGGAGGACTCCTCGGAGCGAGTCCTTGGCAAGATTCGGGCATTCTGGCCCGCAAGTTGTGGCGCACAACATGCTTAATTAGTTTCTGAATCTAGGCGGGAGCCCTGGCCATCCCGCGTGTGGGATGGGAGGGACGGAAGGGAAAATAATTTGTGGCTTTCAGTTTCGGTTGCAGAATGGCGATGAAGTTAGGGTTGGCCCAAACGGAGGATTTTTAATTAAAAGTGCCTGCCTTTTTGCCCTGTCCCCTGCCTCGTGCGTCGTTCTCCTTTCCGTAGTAATGCAAATGAGCGCCAAGTAGCTGCCGCGTGGAAGATCATGCGGTGAATCCTGTGTGCCGTGTGTGAAGTCAACCAAATAGCCTCCTCCACTGCCACTCAGTCCGTGACACCGTCAGTCCGTTAGTCCGTCAGTCCAACAGAGGCAGCAGCGGAAGCGGATGCCATAAAGTGCTGCCACCGCACCACCGGCAGACAGCAGAGCCGGAAAATAAAATGGACGCTCATGTGGATCTGCATCAGAACGAATGCCGAGTGCTGCTGCTGGATGGATGGATGGATGGATGTGTGATACACACACACAATCACACACACACATTTTAATGACAACGACGTGGACGACAATTCAGTTATGGGTCTCATGGCACAGCCATTCCCCCCACCCGCCACCTCTTCCATACACAAAAACCCGAGGCACAAACAAAGGGCGGCATTGCGGCAGGAGGCAGGGAGCTCTGGCAAACCAATCAACTGATTTAGTGCACGGCATCCACATCTCGATGGGCATCTCTTTCGTCCTCGCCCTCGTCCTCGTCCTAGTCCTAGTCGCTGTCCTCGCCCTGCTTTGCATTGGGTTGTTGTGGGGTCTACGTGTATCAGCAAATGCAATTCGTTTGCTGATTTGTCATTGTTTGCTGTCCACCTACCGCCCTATCCCCACCAGCAACCCCTATCGGTGTATCGGAGGATGTGGTGCTGCTGCTGCTGTCGGTGGGAGGGGGTAGGGTGGAGAGAGGCACATTATGCGATGGGCGAGTCTCAACTTGAGCTGATTTACAAATGAAATCATACGCCATGGCGGGCATTTCGGTAATGAAAATTCAGCCATAAGGGAAATCATTTTTCCGGCTTTTGTTCTATTTTAGTTAGCTCTGTGCCTGTGCCTGTGCCGGTGCCTCTCCTTTTGCCTGTGTGCCCCCAGCATCCTTCCTGGGTTTGGACAGGACGAGCAGACACCGCCGCACACTTAATGCGATTTTTGCTGCTTGCTTGTTGGATGCCTGACTGGTTGGATGGCTGCCTCTCTGGTGCCCTCTCTGGCTGCTGCCTCGCTGGATGGTGGGCTTTTAGTTTTGATGTGGTTCTGTGTCAGATACCAAAAGGGAGAAGGGAGCAGGCAGCAGGGAGCAGGGAGTCGGGAGTCTATGACTGGGGTACCTCCGCTGAGGGATTCGAGTACGCTCTATAAATAAATTTCGTTTTAATAAACTTGTCATAATGCTGCAGCGCAAAAAAGTTTTAATAACGCTCCACAAAACCTTGACGTTATTAAAATTTTACATGTCATGCCAAAAAGGATTAAATTCACGGGACGCACAAAGCACAAGGCAGAGGCAAGAGGAGGAGGAGAAGGAGGAAGAGCCATGCCACACGCGCACGCACGCACACCCACCCACACACACACACATTCTGCTGTGGCTGTTGCTGCTTGTCTTCTTTTGTTCTGTTCAGTGTGCTCCCCGCTAGCTCTTTCTCTCTCTCTCCCACTCTCCCGCTCTCCCTCTCTCTCAAGCAGGATGTATTAAGTTGTGCATTAAAATGGCACTAATGACGTTTATACAGCTCTGTCAGCCACGGAAATGTAACTTTTCACCGCAAAAGCCACCCAAAGGAGGCTCCTGTGCCGCCTGTGCCGCCAGTATCCTTTTCTCAAGTTACTTAATTGCAGTGACAACACGACAGCGAAAGCTTTTCCCTCTCTCTCCCTCTCTATGAAATGTGTAAAATCGCTACAAAAATGCTTTGCTTGCAATTTAAAAAACACAGACGCACGGACCCCTGTCTGCCTGTCTGTGGGCCCGCCCCTCCTACCCTGCCCTGCTGCCTTCAGCAAATTCTCATTTTGTACAAATTAAGCGAATTCCGCTTAAAGCATTGCATTCCCGAATAATTTAATTAAAAGTACATTTTTGGCTTTGTTCTCGTCTCGTTTTCTACCTTAATTCTTTTCCCCTCCCCCGTCCGCACAAGGGCCACGCGGATACGTACATACTTGTGGCCAAGTCATAAAACACGCTCGCCTCGCATCCACCTCTCCGGTGGATGCCACAATTCAATTAACAATGCAACAGTACAGCAATTCCGATCCGGCAGAACCCCGAAACAGAACCAGACATAGACCCAGATCCAGATCCAGATCCGTAGAAATCTACCAGCTGAAAACTATCTTTTAACAATGGGTCCCTGTCTCTGTCTGTGTCGGCTGCCCCATTCCATATTCCATGCCACATAGACAGGCGACACGAGTTTTACATTAAAACGCAAAGTTTTATTGCCAAACAATGAGCGGAGGAGCAGAGGCGGGGGAAAAGTTTGTTCTATTTGTATAGGAAAGAGCCTTCGCCTCGTATCGTAAGTTTCTGGGCGCCCAATCTCCGCTAAGTGGTGGGTGTGGCACGTGGGGCACTGTCGCCTTATCAGTTGTAGTTATACAACATATTAGCTGCTTAATTTTACGGACGTGTGTGTGTGTGTATCTTCAGAATAGGAGGGCTCCAAGGATGGGTGTCGAAATGGAAAACTTTTGTTTATTAATTTGTAAGGACCGATGTTAAAGTTTTCTTCGAGATTTCGGTCCTTTCCCTGTCGTCGTGCCATTAATCGTAGAATATTGCATTTCGTAAGGGGCGCAGGGTGCAGGGCAGGTTGTGTGATTTTAAGGGGTGGCAAGATGGCCAATGCGTCTGTTGACACTTCTGACGTCTGACACTGACGGATGATGGATGGATGACGGCTGGGGGCAAGTGACAGCTTCATCAAGTGCAGCCAGGTGCAACTGCAACGCGTTCGCCGTTCATTGATGGAAACATTTACCGCAATTCACTTGCAACAATCCACTCATCCACTCTCTCTTTACCTTTTTCTCTACCTCTCTTTCTTGCAACAGATGACGCCACTGCCACAAGTGAGAAGGAGGATACGTTAGTGGTGGCGGCATTGACTATGGGAACAGAGGCATGGGCGTGTGTGCGGACCTTGGGTCTCATCGATGCTGTCGGGCATTGAGCCACATCCAGCCACAGCCACCAAAGCAGCAACAACAATCCCCATACCAGCTCCCAATAAGCGAGGGCTCTCCAGCAGCAGCAGCGCCAGAACCAGCAGCAGCAGACTCAGCCACGATTCCATCTACCACGACGCTGACGGCATCGCCAGCGAAAACGGCTGCATTCACAGTGAAAACAACGAGGAGAAGAGGACGAAGACGGCTAGACGGCGGAGGGGACGAGGAAGTAGATGCCGCCATCGCCAGCTCAAACTCCAACCCCAGCGCCAGATCGAGCCCAATCTCGAGCTCAGGACCTGCCACCAGATCGATACAAGTTTTCAAATTTGTGCTGATTTCGTTGCTTTCCCTACTAGCGGAAAATTCACAAGCGCACAATATTCCAGGTAAGTGGGAAAGCTGAAGCCATCCCGGGGATGCAGTCCCGATCCTGCTCCTGATCGCGATTCCGATTCCAAGTCGTAGCCAAATTAAATTTCTGGGAAGATCGGATCAAAGCCTCGACTATTCGCGGCAAAAATTATAGCAAAGGATTTCTTTTGGCCTGAAAATCCGCTAAAAATGTCCACTGATTGGAGTGGAAGAACAGCTTTGAAGGAAATATTTTAACCTACGCGAGAGAGTGAGGGCGAGAGAGTCCACTTCAATCTAGTGACGTAGTCCGGTACTTCGCGGCATGTGTGTGTGTGTGTGGCACAAGTCCGGTGGAGATTTTTATTCCGTGTTCAGGAAAATTTAATGGTGCACAATAAGCGGCTTACGTGCGGGCAAAGCAGATTACATTTGGCAATTAGTTGACAGTCGGCTGACGGAAAGACGGATATGAAAATAGAGAGAAAGAGACAGAGAGAGAAAGTGAGAGAGAGGGTGGCTCTCAATGTGCTGCGTTTTGATTTGGTTTTGGATTTAGATTCATGCAGAGTCATCGTAGTACCTGGAGGTACCACTTCTAGTGCTACGGTGGCCCTAAGTGGCATATGATGGCTTATGGTGCGCGGCCGACAGTTCCGTCCCTCGTTTTCCCATCAAAAACGTCGAGAATGTCACGGGTTATCTGCCCCACGAAAAGACAGTCCTGGGGAGGCGTTCTGCTGAATTCAATAAACCAGGCCCCTCCCCCATCCGCAGGACATTAAAAGTTGCTACTTCCTTCGCCGCCGCTCAATGTACCGTTACTTTCCACGTTCCACGTTCTTCGAGTGAATTAATTCAATTTAATTTAGCCGAAAATTGGAAAAACCGCTTGAGATTCCTTCGCCTTCGGCAGCAATGGCCAGGATGGCCAATTTGCTGCACGGTCGAAAGGTCAACGCTAGTGGACTCCTTACCATCGCAGTCTACAGAAGAGGGTGGCTCTGAGGCGCGGCCAGAGGCGGGGGCTGGGGCTTGGGCGTAGATAGAAAATTCCGAAATGAGTTCCTGGAAAACGACTCAACTTAACTTTAATCAATGAAAACAAAGTGCGGCGCTCTGTTGAATAGCTCAGTCGCTGAGAGCCGAGCGCTGAACTCGGGGCTCGAGTGCTCGAATGAGAGGTGGAGGAGTGGAAATGTCTGTCTGTGCCGTTGCCTTTGGCTGAAGGACATTCTAAATGGAATAATGAAACCACTTTTGCATGTTAACGCCATCAAAAGGCGCGAGACAGAGACGTCACACACGCGGGCACAGACTCTGACTTCCTGGCTTCCTGGCATCCTGCTGCTACCCTCTAGACGAGTGCCGCCCTGGCGACATGTCTGCAACATTATCAAAGGGCAATAGACGAACAAGTGCGACGACTATACGACTACACGCTCCTCATTTCCATCATCATCATCATCATCATCATCATCATCGTTCTCGTTCTCGTTCTCGTTCGCCTTCTCCTCCTGTTGTTAATGTTAACGTTGATGCTAATGTCGTTGATGTTGTGTTTTCATTCTTTATTTTTTTGGGAGGAAAGCCAGGACAGGGCAGGCCGGAACGCAGCATAGTGGAGGCTGTGGAGTGGCGATGTAAATAGTCTGCCAAAGCTGCTGGCCAAGTTAACATAAATTTATGCAAATGCCAAAGTCAACAAGCGTGCAGTGCATAAAACGAGGCAATAGCAAGGCCCAGGGGCAGGGGCAGGGGCAGATGAGATGGCGCACGAGATGAATGAAGGGGGGAGTCGGCCAGCTGAGTGCGTGAGTGAGTGAGTGACTGGTTAAGTGTCTTGTCAAGAGTGGCTAACAAAGACGTCGGGGCTTGTACCCCAGTCCTGACAGGCTCTGCTCTCTGCCCTGCCTCCGCCTCTTCCTCTGCCGCTTCCTCTCTCGATTTTCCCATTTTCACACTGAAAGAAAATTATGCAAAATGCATTAAGATGATTTTTGCTGTTTCCATTCAGTTCTATCCCGACCAATCAGTTTTCAGCTGCAGCTTCCTCTGGCATATCCTCTTCCACATTTGATTCCGATTCAGATTCAGATGCATATGCAGATGTAAACTCGGATACGTCTGCCCCACAGATGCCAATGCCCCCTCCTCTGCCCCTGTCCCTGCTGCTGGTACAAACAGCCAAGCCACAATACAGGCAGGGAATGAAGAGGGAGGGGGCCGTACTTCCATCCACTCGATTGCAACGGCAATGGGAATGGCAACGGCAGCAGCATCACATGTGCAGGTCAAAAGTTGTTTGTTAACAAGTTTTGTGTCATGCCAGGGGCCAGGACCTGGAGCAAAAGCCAGAGGAGCATCTGCAGTCTTCCATCTTCAAGTGGAGCCCGTGTCCGTAACAGGATATGCTCCCGTTATTGCATTGCTTCTTAGTTGTTGTCCTGCTGTTTCCGACAATTCATTTGCATTTCCGTTCTGCCACTCTGCTGCCGTTTGATCTCCTTCCCCAATTGCAAGCGAAATTTTCAACTTCATTTTCGACCATGACACACGCACTCGTACTTCTGTGCGGAGGGTGGGATGCGGTAGAATGTGGGTCAGTAGGGGGAGGCGGGAGCCTGCATAAATAATACCCCCACACATTCGCACCTCGCCAGCTCAACAAGCAGCCTAATCAGCGACTGTCAAGTGTCCGACGGACACTCCACCGAACACCGACGGGTCGGTCGGATGGTTGGATGGTTGGATGGATGGACGGACAAGTGACAAACGCTAATGAAATGTCACTGTCCGTTGAGAGTGGAGAGTCGGGAGTGTGTCAGAGGCAGAGAGGCAGTCGGAAAAACAGTTGGACAGACAGTTGAAAAGGTGGGAAGCTAGTTTTCGTCAATCAGAGTCGAGTGTCCGCCCACGAGAGTTCCGTATCCGTATGTCCAATAACTTTTGTGGTCGAGTGGTCGACGTTGCATTCCTTTGCATATTACGGGGCCGGGCACATTCACTGGAGTTCAATGGGATAACTGATTCCATGGCCGTCGCCTTGCAACAAGGCTCTCCCTCCTGGGTTGGGGCCACACATCAGTCATTGACCAGCTCTTGACATGTGACCGACGTAGCCATCAACAAATCCATTTAAAAGTAACCCCCGGGTCATGTTAGTGTTCGTCCTTATTCTTCCTGTCATCACATCACATCACACGGAATGTCAGCACTGGCGAATGGGAACTGGAATGGGAATGGGAAATCGTGCTGAATGTCACGTCTAAATAGAAAGCAATAACGACTCGCAGTAGTCGGGGCGGAGGCCATCGACTGCGGCTTTATCGAATTGGCCGTATTATGGGCGCATCACGTCGAGGCTCGGGCGGAGTGCCCCTCGGGAATGGAATGGAATGGAATGCAATGGAAGGGAATTCCTGTAACAAATACTCGCAACAAGTAATGCAATATCCGTATCTATTTTTTTGTCCAATTGCAGAAGATGCTGTGCACATCACGGCCATACTCGGCGAAGGCGTCATCTTCAACTGCCATGTGGAGTTCCCCAACGACCATCCGGTGCCATATGTCCTCCAGTGGGACAAGAAGGTGAGCGAAACGGTACGATATCACAGATAACATTTCTTCTCTAAACTCTCTTTTTTACATTACGTTGTTCTGATACGCAAAAAGCAAGAAAAAGTAAGAAACAGTCAGAAAAGACAGACCACCCGTACCCGTACCACGCACGTAAGAGGCGACACAGTAAACGAATTAAATGAATACTACTCTCCTACTACTACTCCTAATGAATACTCTACTCTTCAGTGTGTGTTTCTTTAATACCAATACGTACAAAAAACATACCATTATACTACTCGTACCCGTACTCGTACCCGTACTCGTACCCGTACACGTACTCGTATGAGAACATCCCTTCTCGAATCAGCATTTGTCTTCATTCTTTAGTTCTCGTTTTGTGTTTCTCTTCTGTTCTGTTCTGGCATCCTTTCTGTTCCCTTTGCTAGCCATAAAGCTTCCCTCCGGCTAACGGCTTTCGGCTAACAGTGCTGCAGACCAATAACAGAAATTTGTGATCCGATGTATTCGAATGCATACGCCAGTCCATAGTCCCATGCTTGAGATTACTATCGTGTATTGATCATGTATGATATAAGTGTTTATGTGTTGCCCGATTGGTACTCGTATTTTGCATATCGTATTTTGGTTTCAGTTCAGCTTTCCGTTATCCGTTTTCTGTTCCGATTTCAGTTCAGTTTATATCTTCCATCTGCCTCTCTGGCTTGACCTCTCACCCACAGACACACCTACACGCCATATGGTGATCCTATTAAGCAGCAGGCTTTCTTTCAGCTTCGCAAGCGAATATTCTGCTTGGGATCGGACTCTCATTCTTAAAGTTTACCCACACAACAGACACACACACACACACACTCTGAACACACACACACACACACTCTGAAATGATTATTTTTGCGGCATTCGAATGAAATTTTAATGAAATTATTTGTCAATTGAAGGGCATTGAACGGGCTTCACAGCACCCGGACCCCAAAGAGAGCGAAAGAGAAGAAACTCGATCAAAATATATCAAAAAAATTCACAAACCACCAAAAACCGAAAATATCAAATTCCATTTTGCAAACCAAAACCAAAATCAAAATCAAAAATCGTATCGAAATTCGTTCGCAAATCGTTCGACTCGAAACATATGTACACACAGAAATTTAGCCTTAGCTTAGCGGCTCACTGCAACGAAAACACACAACCAAACAATTTTCCAGCATTTTCCGCATTTTCCGCTCTTGTTATTCTCCTCTCTCATCTATGCAAAAATCCAAAAATCCAAAACAATTAGCCACAACTATTCATAACTGAGCAAAATACTCGTCCACGTACTCGTATTCGTATTCGCATTCGCATTCGCATTCGTACTCGCATTGAAAGCGAATTAGTCACAAATTTTCAAGATTTTCTCCACTCGGAAACCATCACCTATTGCACTCTTAACCCGCACAGACCACCCTCACAGGCGGGCGGCACTGTCGCAGTCGCAGTCGGAGAAATGCTTGACGGAGTTTTGCAGGAATATGCTAATGTTTGGGAAAGTTGAGCCGTAGATAAACAGACGGAAGATTTATTCCGAATTCCATGAGGATGAATGCGAAAACTTTTCAACTCTCCCGCTCTGCCGCTCTGCTACTCTGCCACTGGCCATCAGGACAATCAGTTAGTGACGGATTGGTGGCAGGACTTTCCCAGCATCTCTAGCATATTACTAACTCTGACTCTGCCTTTGCCCTTGCCTTTGCCACTGCCAAACTTTGCCACCAATGCAAATTCCTGTAGGATAAGCAAATTGTATTCCAATCAAATCAGAAAACGAGGCAATCCAATCCTCGTATTAGTCCTCGAAATAGCCAGCACCAAAACACAACCCACCACCCACAGCAATACACTTTGTCATGCCTCATTCTTTTCATACTCTGATGAATTTTCATTTTCATTTGGAATTTTTGTAATATATTGTGTAATTATTTGCATGCCTCTAGTGAGTGGAAAACCAAGTATTTTATTTCTCGTTTATCTCTGCTCTTTCTCGGGAGACATTGCAGCTGCAGCTGTAGCTGCAGTCTGCAGTGTAAACTTTGATGAAGCCAACTAACGTGGGCAACCCCAGCCCCAGCTCAAGCTCAACTTCAACTTTAACCTAAACCTCAACCTCAACCTCAAACAGCTTACTTTCCATAATTTCAAGCACGCCTAAGCCTAGGAAACTAACTTTCTTAGGGGATGGGACTGGGACTGGGACAGGGGCTTCTGCTGCTCTAGTTCTAGGGCGATTGTTGCTGCCGCTTGATAGCGAAGCTCAAGCCAAGCAAAAACTAAGAAAAACCGCAAGGATAATAAAGTGGAAATGCCGACGCTGTGGCCAGGATAAGAATGCGATGGGGATGGGCGTCAAAGTCACGCGGAGAATGCAGTGCAAAAAGTTCTGTCTATGTGTGTGTGGCAGATAACGTCTCCTGCCCTGATCCTGCTCCTGCTATTGCTTCTGCCTTTTTTGCCCAAGTTAAAAGTTTTACAAGCAATTTTAATGCCAAACAAAGTTATAAGTACTGCAAAAAGTATGTTTATGTTTTGTCGCGATAAAAATGCACACACGCGCACACATTCGCCATCGAATGGGGGGGGGGGGGGGGGGGGAGGGGAAAACGAGGGAAAGGAAAACAGTAAATGGCCGAATTAAAGGGATTAACATGGCTTTAGCTTTTAATTTATGCGCTCGTATATCTCCCACTCTCTCTCTCGCACTCGCACTCGCTCTGTACCTTTTTTTCCCCCACATATAATTACATGCATTGCTGGACCATAAAAGTGGAAAAAATAGAAGAATTTCCCTCCGCTTCCGACAGTCGCTCTACATCTGCTTCGTGTGGCAATTCATTAAATGTTGCCTACTTTTGTGCGCTCGCTCTCTCTTTAAAGAAAGAAAATGGCCCTAGAGGGAGAAAGAGGGACAGAGGGAGAAAGTAGTAGAAAGAGACGGCACAGAGAAGAGGCGTCAGAGTCTGGCGTTGCCTTAGTTGCAATCTAAATTAATTGCTACTGAATAAATTAAGCGGAAAAATGTTTGCCAAGCCAACTTATGACGCTTCTGCGAGTGCGAATATTAATTTTGGGCCCACGACCAGGGACCAGGGACCAGGGAACAGGACCTCGTTTGTTGTCTGTCTGTCTCTCTGTCTGTGTGTATGTCCCAGTCCCTGAATGTAACATGACAGAGTCCCTCTGCTCAGCTATGCTCGTGTGCCTCGGATGCCAAAGCAAATTATTTCATACGTCAGCCTAGGAAATTATTAAAACGTCTATAAGTTTTAATAAGCGAGAGACGGAGAGACGCAGAGCTGGAAACCCGCCTCCTATCTATCCTTGCCAGATGGCAGGCAGGAGCAGGCCTCGGTCTAATTACGGAAATAAATCGATTAAGCTCGGCCTGGTGATAACATGGCGTATGAGCAATTTACTTACCAATTATTTATGTATACGCAATTATCTCTCTGTCTCCGTCACTCTCTCGTGCCAATGGCACCTCTTCATATTTGAGTAACAGAGAGAGCGAGAGAGAGAGACAGAGGGAAAGAGACAGTAAAGAATCCTTTTTTCTACCAAGTGTTAATGCTTGGCCGGGTTTTGGCCAACTTCTGGTCATGCGAAAGAATTCGAATCGAAAATGCATTCGGTTCAATGCATTCGTTTTTCCCCAACGTAACCCCCACCCCTGCCCCTGTGGCCTGTGGAGCCAACGAATAAAATAAACAAAGGACATGCTGCAAGCCAGGGGGGACTAGGGCTGAGGGCTGAAGGCTGCCTTTTCGAGGATTGGGGGCGAGTGCAGGTTAACCCCAATTTTTGCTCCTCGCCTCAAAATATTTTACATGCACATTTTTTTTATCTGCACAAGCTAGAATTTCAAATGTATCTCTCTTTTGGCCCCGTCGTTGTTTTAGTTGCCGCCACACACACACACCAACACACACACAGACAGATGATTTATTGTTGCCACCGTGTCCCTGGCACACTGTGTGTGCCCCTGCCTTTGGGGGGCTGTTGATGAGCATGCAAACTGCTGGCGACGAGGCAAGGAAGCAAGGGACAGGCAAGGAAGCGCTGCGCTGAGCGCAGAGACTGGGGAGTGTTCGTGTTGACAGTGAAAACGTGTGGCCATGTCTGTGTACGAGCGAGTATCTGTGTGTGTTCGGTGCGTGTGTTTGTGTGTGTAGTGGAATGTTTACCATGCGGCAGCGCAATTTCTCCACGTTAACGTGATGAGTTTTTGTTTTGACTGTTTGTAGATTTTACTTTCACAACCGTTCCTCCACAGGCACAGACACAGACAGAGTACGGGGACCCAGCTATGTCATTGTATCTGTATATGTAACTGTTCGTATCTGTGTGTTTATGTGTCGCAACTCAATTTATTTCTGACAGTTGCTTAGTTGTTTGCGTTGAGAGAAACTTGAATTTCCGATTAGCGTACGCAGGTTTTTCTTTTCGTTTTTAGTATATTGTACTATGAGCTTTCCCACCTGCTTGCCACTTACAGAGAACATATATAGAATATAGAGACAAATACCATACATAATGCATGCTCCAGTTCGCATCTGTTTGTAGATAGCCGCTTTATAGCTTCAGCCTCAATCTCATCCCAAATCCATAACCTTAGGTTAAACAAAAACTGTCTGCAATCCCCATTCCCCTTGTATCCCGTGAATCCCGTGAATCCCGTGAATCCCGTGTATCCCTTCTATCCTCTGTATCCCGTGAGTCCCGTTTATCCCGTAACATGTCCCAGTGTACGAGTGTATGTAAAAACTGTTCTTCAGACTCCGTTTGTATCGTATGTACAGATGCCATATAGCACCATTCAATGCATATGCATTCGTCGTTACAGTCGAAGATCGAATCAAACCAAACCCCGCGCATCGAATCGAATCTGATGAAGGCTAATGGTTCTCTCATTCTCACAATCCAAAACACAGGGCTCCGATCTGCCCATATACATCTGGTATGAGAGCTATCCGGAGCACATCGAGGAGGGCTACAAGGGACGGGTGTCGCGCGTCTCGCAGGACTCGCCCTTCGGCAGCGCCTCGCTCAACCTCACCAACATCCGGGAGTCCGATCAGGGCTGGTACGAGTGCAAGGTCGTCTTCCTGAACCGCGATCCCAAGCAGCACAAGAACGGTACATGGTTCCACTTAGACGTACATGCACCGCCGCGCTTTAGTGTTACGCCCGAGGATATTATATACGTTAATTTAGGTAAGTAAATGCCTGCCCCCCCTGTCCCCCTGTCCACCTACCACCCAGCCACCTCTATACAGTAAATCATTCCTCTCGAAAAGCAGCCGAACATCAACTTCTCATATTTGGCCGCTCTCCTATTTTCCCCGCTGTCAACGTGCCACAGATTAAGTGGAGTGTGGAGTGAGCCCACCCTCCTCCTAGTCTGTACTTTTGACTGTGTCAAATGGCCGGCAATTTGTTGCAGGGCCCGAATGAGTTTGTCACCTTGGAAATGCCATTCCATTCCCAAGAATGAACTACGAGTCCCAGTCCCGGTTCCAGTCCCCATGCGTCGTAAAAAGTGTGCCATGCCAGGCCATACTTTCGGGGCGGCCCCCAAGGAGTTATGTGCCGCCATTTGTCATCTTCTGAATGGGCAAGGTCCGCTGCTTGCTGCTTGCTGCTTGCTGCTCGCTGCTTGCCGGTCACCGCTCGCCCGAAGAGCATGAAAATCGATAAGCTCTTTATGTTCGCAATCGCATCAAATCAAATTTCCGTCGCTTAATCAAAGTTAAAATGTTTACAAGTCCAAGTGGCAGTCCAAGTCCCCGAGGCTACCCCCGCACCAGCGAAAGCGAAACAAAAGACGTTGCCGGAAATGCGTCGAGAGAAAATGGCGCTGCAGCGCATAAATCAGACACAAGCACACAACGGAGAGGCAGGAATAACAACGAGCCCAGTGAGGCGGCACAAAGTACGAGGATGAGGACGAGGACGAACTGCAACAAAGAGCCTCGACCGGGTATCCCATTGTCTGCTGCAAATGGCGGCAGCGGCAGCAGCTATCACCGTTAGCCGAGGCACAGAGACAAAGCCGTGTGCCACAGTTAACCGGAAGGAGGCAGGGAGCTATGCACATGCACTGCTCCTTTACCCCTTACCCCATACCCCACATTTAGCCACATTTCGCATCAAATGAAACCAAAAAGCGTAACAATTGCCACCACTTACCTTATTAATTTCTCGTTCTCGTTCTCGTTCTCATTCTGCCTCTCTCTCTCAATGGATGGCATGGTCCTGATCCTGGCGTTTCCTTGCAGGTGATTCAATTATACTCAATTGCCAGGCTGATGGCACACCGACCCCGGAAATACTCTGGTACAAGGATGCCAATCCCGTCGACCCCTCGCCCACGGTGGGCATCTTCAACGACGGCACCGAGCTCCGGATCTCGACCATACGGCACGAGGACATCGGAGAGTACACTTGCATTGCACGCAATGGTGAGGGGCAAGTCTCCCATACGGCCCGTGTTATAATCGCGGGCGGCGCTGTAATCATGGTAAAAACCTAAATACAAATGAATTACTTTTGAGATACATAATTGAATTGAATTGAAAGTCGTACACTCTTGAGTACAACAAAATTCGTATGCAAAAGAAGAGCAGGGTAGAGGGAGCCCGTGCACTGGGGAGTCATTGGCCATGAGTCTCGCTTTGAGGTTTGCTAATAGTCTCTATGTATATTCTCTCCACCCACCGATTCCCGCCTCCCCACCACATTCCCGCCACCCCAATTCTTGATTTCCCCGATATTCCGCGATAAAAGGATAAGGCCGCGCCCGACAAGCACGCACGCACCAAGTCCCAGGCGAATGCCATCAATGAGAGATTTGCTATAAGAGTAAGTGCTGAACTCTATTCTACTCTCATCTTCTGTTTGCATTCCGCATATACTGCATATACGGCATATACTGCATATAATCTGTTCAACGCTTTTCCATTAACCTAGCCGAAGATTCTCCTCTGCGTCCTCGCAGTCCATCCCTATCCCATCCTCAACGAAATTCAAATTCAAAGCAAACTAATCACTCCAAAGGCTTTGCGGCTGCAACCAGCAGCAGGGCTAGGGCTTCAAAAATCACCAGACCAAACCCTGTCCAGGACGTGAAGAGCCCCCCAGCACTCCCCCACTCCAGTCCGATTCTGAGATCTGATTCCTAGAACCCAGAAAACGCGGCAACCGAAAACGCGGCTAAAAGCGTGAGCCCCAGAAACGGGAGGAAAAAAATTGTAACGAGCGTGAAACTTTTTTTGTGCCTTCGTGGCCCTAAAACGCAGTGGATGGATGCTTCGTGCCCCGTATGCAACATCTCCATTCCGTCGTCTCTCCATTTACAAGCGAAAAAGGGAGTCCGCGCAAAACTGTGACCCCAACGGAACGGCATAGCTGCAAGCAGCAGGAGAGTAGCAACTCCTCGAACAGAGAACTCCGTGTGCGCCAGGCATACTCTTAACATGGTCATTCGCCTGGTCTGGTCTCGCATCCCCAGCCCATCTCTCATTGCCGGCTACCCTTCCGCAGATCCCCCTATTTACAATGGAGCACACAACATGCCCTCCTCTACCTTTGCACACTCTTCTTTCTCCCCTTCTCGCGTGTGTGGGTACTAGTCGGCAGTGGTACGTACGACCATAGCATACTTTTGTGCGCTCCCCGCTAATGCATTTGCATTTCGGGTTATTTACAGTTGGCCATACGCTACTCCGAGGCCACTGCCACTTCTTCCACTACTTGCACTACTCCCACTCATATTTCTTGCTGCCTTCGTTCGCGTTGGCTTGAACTTTGACCTTTTGTGACCTATTGGGGGGCACTTGGAGCTTAGAGGCAGACGAAGACCAAGACGAGGACATACCTCGAAAGCAAACTTCAATTACTGCAATTGCCGCATTTTGTGAGGCAATCTTCGCATAAATATTGCAATAACATTTATCTGTATCTGTGGCCACAGGCCGGGTGGACAGTTTATAGATGGCCAACACACACACACACACACACACACACACTTATATGGGGGGTTTCAATTCAATTTACGAGCCTATTCCGGCCCGCAGTCAACCCACATCAGCCCCACATCACAGCAGTTCTGCCATAACTAAAACTAATTCAAATGAAACATTCTGCAAGCAAATTGCCCAAAAGCAAAATCAAAATCCAAAGCAAACGCAAATGTGCCCATTAAATAACCGAAAGGACGAACAACAGGCAGAGAATGCACTCATGCAATTACCCAGAGCCAGAGCAATAGCCAGACCCAGAGTAGGGCTGGGAGCCAGGACATCACGGATCGTGGGGGAATGGAGGGAATAGAGGGGAGAGAGGGAAAAGAGGGTTCCTAATGTTCGCTTCTGACATTTGACTGACAAGTTGTCAATGGCAGTCAGCAGTGGAGGAGCAGTGGGGCAGTGGAGCCGTGGAGAAAAGGGGAGCATTTCATAGTTGTGACAGCAGAAATGTTATTTCTCATGAGTCGAAGCGAAACGTGGAGTGGAGTGAAAAAGCGACTGCACACACAAAGGATATCGATGACGGCGACAGCCAAAAATTAGCTGTCAAGCTCCATGACAAGTTCCAGAACTCATTCTGTTCCATCGAAGAGGGGATTTAGGGTTAAAGTTACGGCGCTCATGATTTGAATTAGTCAAACAGTCCACAAAAAACAGTCAACAGTCAACCGTCATAAGTTTGCAGGTCATCCCACGGTTCAGATTTGTCTAAAGGGATTCTTTTTTGTCTCTCTTTCCTTTCAATCGACCGACAGGTGCCGCCCACCAACCAAACGAAGCTCGAGGGCGAAAAAGTGATATTCTCATGCGAGGCTAAGGCGATGCCCGGCAACGTGACCGTCCGCTGGTTCCGCGAGGGATCGCCGGTGCGCGAGGTCGCGTCGCTGGAGACCCGTGTCACCATTCGCAAGGACGGATCCCTCATCATCAACCCCATCAAGCCGGACGACTCGGGCCAGTACCTGTGCGAGGTGACCAACGGCATCGGCGATCCGCAGAGTGCCTCCGCCTACCTCAGCGTCGAATGTGAGTGCAGCCATCGCATTGCTCCTCGATTCCGGCCATTATCAATTTTCCTTCACACACTCCACCCTCCACAGATCCTGCCAAGGTCACGTTCACGCCAACGGTGCAATATCTGCCCTTCCGGCTGGCAGGAGTCGTCCAGTGCTACATCAAGTCGAGTCCCCAGCTGCAGTACGTGACCTGGACGAAGGACAAGCGCCTGCTGGAGCCCTACCAGATGAAGGACATCGTGGTGATGGCCAACGGGTCGCTGCTCTTCACGCGCGTCAACGAGGAGCACCAAGGCCAGTACTCCTGCACGCCCTACAATGCCCAGGGCACGCACGGCGCCTCCGGCTTCATGGACGTGCTGGTCCGCAAGCCGCCGGCCTTCACTGTGGAGCCTGATACGCTCTACCAGCGCAAGGTCGGCGACAGCGTCGAGATGCACTGCGACGCCGTCGAGGCGGAGGGCACCGAGCGGCCCACCATCAAGTGGCAGCGCCAGGAGGGCGAGCAGCTGGCCGACTCGCAGCGCAACCGCATCAAGATCTCCGGCGGCAACATGACCATCGAGAACCTGCGGCGCGAGGACTTTGGCTACTACCAGTGCGTCGTGTCCAACGAGGTGGCCACCTTGATGGCCGTCACGCAGCTGGTGATCGAGGGCACCCAGCCGCATGCCCCCTACAACATCACCGGCAAGGCCACCGAGTCCTCCATCACGCTCCAGTGGCTGCCCGGCTACAGCGGGGGCTCCGAGTACAAGCAGGACTACACGATCTGGTTCCGCGAAGCGGGCGTCAACGACTGGCAGACCATCTCGGTGACGCCCTCGGGCAGTACCCAGGTGACCATTAACGGCCTGGCCTCCGGCACCACCTACGAGTTCCAGGTGGTGGGTCGCAACGTCCTCGGCGACGGGATGATGAGCAAAGTGATGACCGTGCGGACGCTGGGTGAGTTTTGCTTGTTCCTCAGATCCTCCTTTGCATTTAGTACTTTTTGCTTTGGCTATTTTCCTTTTGCTCCTTTTGCTCGTTTTGGGTTCCTTTTGCTGCAATCGTCCCAGCATCGTATGCACATTGTTCTATCATGAAAAACCTATGCACTAGAGGAGACTCGATCCACAAGCCCGCCAGCCCACAAGTCCACAGTTGGGGCTTCGGGGTCGAGGCCCTCTCTACTTTGGATTGGCTCTAACATAACGCTCTTGTTTTTCTCTCGTTTTCTTCTCTTTTTCTCACGATCTCCATCGATCTCCAACCAAAACCAAACCGCTACTCGATCTCTAACTTTCTCATACTAATCATGCGCCGCAATCAAATGCAATACCAAAAAATGCAATGCCAAAACTCAACATCGACTCTCACTCGCGCATTGAATCTCGAATTTTTCTTGCTGACGTTGGATGCCACCATTGAAAAATTCGAATTCAATCCAATAGAAGACGCTCCGGCAGCGCCACGTAATGTCAAGGCTGCAACACAACCGCCCGACTCATTCTTTCAGCTAATGCCAGACGAAGCTGGTAAGAGAATCAACCAACAAAAACCAAAATCAACAAACCAAAACACCCAACAAGCAAAAACCAAAAACTAAAAACCGAAAACCAAAAACCAAAATCCTTAGTCAAGTAAATGCGAATGCGTATGCGTATGCATTGTAGATGTAAATAAGAAACAAAACACGAGGACCCCAACCACAATTACAAGGATTAAAACTATGAATGAACTTAATGACGAATGCTTTTGATAACGGAATGCTTTTGCTGATAACAAGAGGCAGACAATGCGATGAAAGAGCCCTCGGGGAGACCGCAAAAGTGGCATTCATGTGTGGTGCAGTGTATCTGCCTTCCTTCCTTCCTTCCTTCCTTGCCTGACTGAACTGATGAGTGGAGTGTAGTGTCTAAATATACGCGTATATTTTTAAATTATCGGGAACTAAGTACAAAAGGGATAAGGCTAGACCACAGACCCCCTCCCCCTCCCGCCCACGCAGAGTCCCAAAAAATATTCAATATTCATTTCGGGAACAATTAAATATTCAAACCAATTATACAACGCAGGAAAGTAGGAAATGGGGATAGTGGATAGGGGATTGGGGATTGGGGGATTAGGGGATGATCTGCCCTCAATCTGCTCAGTGGAGCCCTGCTCCACGGTTTTATTGGCTGCCAAAGCACGCCCCAAATTCGCGCCATTTCCCACGGGGCATAATTTCTGCCACATGTGCGATGCAGAGGGCAGGGGCACGGCTTGTTTTGTGCTGTGCTGTGGAGGATGCGATGTCCGGACTCTGCTCTGGCTGTGAATATTACATTTCACGCACGCACACACAAACACACACACACACAACGTGTGTCTATGTGTGTATGCGTTCGAGCGAACCGTTCGCAGCGTAATTAAAACAGTTTGTCCCACATTTAATTATTTAAATTAATTGAACTGTTTTTACAACTGTGCCCCGACCGAGGCGGGGAGCCGTGGAGCCGTGGAGCTGCCTTCGTTGTCGTGTTTCGTGTCTTGCAGGTCGTGCGGTCGATATGACAACGCCCACGCCCCATGCCCCACGCCCCATGCCCCATGAGGGTGGTATAATTTAAACAACCATATTACCAAATGCCGAGGCACATTTAACAAGGATACCTCCGACCTGCTGCTCCCCCTCTTCTCTGTCCTGGCCGCCCATTGCGGGCGCAGTAGGTGCGGCAATTTGAATGCCTTTGTCGACGTTGCCGCGTGTTTTTCCAACCGCTTTGCGATAATAGTTAATTTTATACTCCCCCCCATACCTGCCCCCTCCCCCACCCGCTCAGTAGCAGTCTCTCGCTCTCCCTCACTCTCTTGGTCTGTAGTTTATCCCCTACATACACCCCCTAGTTGTACCCTCCCCGCCTGCTGTATATAAGAACAGACACACACACACACACACACACACACACACAAATAAATGTTTTCCCCCCATTTAGCGTATTTAATTTACTTGCATTAGTATCTGTGTGTATCTGTGTGTGTGTTTATGGGTATAGATGTGTGTGCTCGTAGCATATGTGTGTGTATCAGTGCGTGTTTTGGCGCACGCGTATGTTCAAAAAATAAGGGAAACAGCAGCAGAAGCAGAGCCAGAAGCAGCAGCAGCAGCAGAAGCAACAAAATAACAACAACAGAAAAACGCCAGAAACAACCAAATAACAAAAAAAAACTACAACAACAACAACGAACGAACGAACGAACGAACGAACAGTAGAAACTCTGGCGGTGGCAACTCTAGCGGCAAATGTGCGCTGTGTTGTGTAATGCAACCCTGGATTTCGTGTACGTGTGTACCTTTTTTTGGCGCTTGTAACGAAACACCTTCAGAAACAACCATCATCCGCAAACGCAACGCCCGCCCATTCAGATTCAGCCACCCACTACTCTACAGACACAACACCAACACCACGCGCCCCATCCCCACCCCACCCCCGCCTCATCCTCATTCTCAGCCGCCCTCACACACACACAAACAAATACAACTAGCAGCAGCAGCAGAAATTGTATTTCTTTTTGGCTTTTATTTTCGTTTTTTTGTGCTTTATTTTTCTTATAATATTTTTCCTCTTTTTTTTTTTTTAAATCGTGCATAAAACATCAACGGTAAACCATTTGCCACCGCCCTCCGCCACACCCACACCCACACCCACTCCCATACCCTCCTTTCAAACGGAAGGACGTGCGTGCACGTGAATGTCAGTGTGTGTGTCCGTGCCGCATTTGTTTATGTCAAGCAATTTTCATACGCCATGTAGACCCTGACGCTGGCACGCTGGCACGATGGCACGGTGGCACGGTGGCACGGTGGCATGTGGAACAGTTCTGTGTTCAGTGTTCGGTGCGTGCTGCTGCTGCTGGCAGGGCTTGTTGGGCTTGTTGTTTTATCCTTGCGCCGCAGCGCTTAAAAATTAATAACAACAATGCGAGGCAGCAGCAGAAGCAACAGCAGAAGCAGCAGCACGCTACTTGAACAGTTGCAAATTTCCGCCACTGACATTCGACAAAATAAACCAAGTGGAGCAGCTATCGCCTGCTCGACTAGACGATACCCAGCAGCAGTGTGCAGAACTCTCTTCTGAGTGCGGACTAGGCATACCCTTCCTAAAGCAGCGGCAAAAGTTGGAGCTTGAAGCATGCAGCAAATGCATGTCAAGGCTGATTACACACAACCACACACACACACACGCACACACACACTCTCTGACTGAAACACACATATGTACAGATGTACATATGTACGTACGTTGAGCATTTATGAATATTCAATGCATTTCACTGTCATAATTGCAGCTGGGGCTCGGTATGTGCCTCCTTCTTGGAGGTCGACCTCTGGTCTCGGTCTCTGATTTGCATTCCGTCAAGGTAAACCAATTGACTGCTGGATCTTGAGTGATTGCCTCTCACCCGCAAGCCGGTGTGGCCCGACCTTTTGGAACTCCTGACCCCCCAATACACACCCACTGTACACCCCACAACAGAGGGCTTTAGTAGTTTAGTATTTCGGTTGTTGGATTGCACTTTTCTATTATTGCACTTTTCCTCATTTCGGGCTGCACTCTCTGTAATTAATCTTTAAAACATCTTACTGGATTTTTCGATTTGATTTGTGATCATTTTCGTTCTGTTTTCTGTTCTGTTTCCGTTTTATTTGCAGACCTTTTAGCATATTTTGACATTTTCTTTCACACCGATTCGCGGGGCAAGCTAGTTTATTCGCCACCCAGATTGAGAGTGAAAGGTACTCGTATTAAAAACATATCACATATCCCATATCGCACACCATACCCCGCATATATACCCGTCAATAATTTTACAGCATTTCCCGCTCCCCTGGCCAACATGTTGCAGGTCCCTCTTAAGTAATGTCTCTGTCTTGCGGCACAGCCTGTAATTCCACAATTCCTGCAGCTGCAGATTTACTGCCTCTGCGGGTGCCACACCTACCATCCACAGCACACAGTGTGTGCCACAGTGCCAGAGTGCCACAGTGCCACTGCCACTGCCACTGCTGCAGTCATAAATAACATTTAACCGTGCGGCGCCTCACAGGGTCGCGATGCCCAGTCCCGTACCCTTTGTGTACCCTGTCGTGTCTACCCTTGACATTTTTACAGTGTCTCCGTCCGTCAGTCCGTTTGTACGTTTGTACGTCCGGCCGTCTGCTGTGTCTACCCATCTCATTTAGGCCTTCCTTGGTCCGTGCGCCTTTCCCTGCCGTACGCCATCCCCATTTTATGTCTTTTTATGTTTGTCACTTGTCTCGTTTATGTTATGTCAAATCTGCGCACATTTTTTATACGGGCCATGGGCCAAAGGGTTGTCGTTGCGCCCCACCTCCCCCACTCCAAGGATCCACCTCCAGCTACTGCTCTTTCTGCCGCCATTCGCATAATCAACTTTTGATATATGCAAGACAGAGTGTAGAGTGTATATGCGCTTTCAAATCTCCCGAGAGAGCTCTTTAAAAGCATTTTTAATTAGAATACATACATATATAATGAGCGTGGCATTTTTCGTTAGCGTTTCATAATAAATGGCTTGCACTTATTGCCACACGTTCGCAAATCCCCCGTTTTCCCATTCCCCCGTTCCCCCCTTCCAACTCATCTGTTATCCTGCAGCTTTTTGGGGGAGCCCCCATCTCGTTCCTGCTGTTGTTCCGCTTGTGCTGCTGCGCTTTACCCCAAAAAATTCAAACGAAATTCCCCCGCATTTGCACCGTCAGCGTCAGCGTTCATCTAAGCAGCCATCCCCACACCAACACACGCACACAATGACAGACTGATACGAGCTAGCACACACCGATACAAGCAAACGCACACACAGATGCATGGCACACATCGGTTTATGCTGTTGAAAATTTCATAAGCGCCGTTGGGAGCCTCCGTCGGAAGGAGGACGCTGAAGAGGAGGAGCAGCTGTAACCTGGGGGACATTTTACATGACATATCGTATTGTGTCTCTTATTTCTCCAAGCTGTTTTAATTTGCATTTGCATGTGCGACATCCCCCACCCGATCCGATACCCTGGAGATCGACCGACCGACCGGCAGTTAATTGCATCGAGCACGAGTTCTCACAAATCACCAGCGAGAGGAGGTCCTGCCACCCGAGAGACAGAGAGTGAGAGAGAGAACTCACTGAGAATTCAGGTTATCCATGGCCTGTCCGTCTAGGCCCGTAATTTGTATCTGTATCTGGCCATGGCCTAGGCTCTAGCCAGACAGACAGACAGACACCAGAGTGTTCGTCTCCATGTCCGTGTAGTCCTCGTCCGTTGTTGTTGTTGTTGTTCCTGTTGTTGCTGTTGCTGTTGCTGTTGCTGTTGCATGGACATGTACTCGTATATTTTTATCATTTTTCCGTTGTGATGCCGAACGGATGTTTGGGTTTGGGGACAAGTATTCAAATACGAAAATGGAAAGTTTTATGTGTGTATGCTAATTAAAATGTGTTTTTGTCAATCCCTTTTCGCCCAGTAAATCCCATTCCCATGACTCCTTCTCCTCCTCCTCCTCATTCTTGTTCTTGTTCTTGTTGCCGCTTTCCTCGTCATGAATAAATGCATGGTGCAAAAAGAAAGTAAAAAGACGCAAAAAAAAGTAAAAGGGTTGTCTGTGCGCTGGCAAGAGTTGCAAAAAGCCAAATGGAAATTTCATAAAGCTTTTAAGCGAAACGAAAGAGGAAAAAAAGTAAATGTAATAAAATAAATAAAAGAATCTAAAACAAAGCAAGACCCGGGGATGAGCCGGTGCAGGACACACCCTTCGGAATTAGTTGGATGATAATATTTTCAGAAGGGAATTAAATAGCTATTAGATCTATCGCCCGAAGAAGGATACAAGTTAGTGCGGGACTCAAGCTTTCGATCCGAATGAATGTACTTTCTCTGAGGGAAAACCCAGCCAAGCGGCGAAGGCAATGCGGAAAGGTAATAAAAGGGCAACGCGGACTCCGCGGAAACTCGGAAAATTCCTCGCGTAAATAAACAAAGCATAAAATGAAATGCAAATAAATCAAAAATAATGCAAACGATTTAGCCACCCCCCCTCGGAAAGGTGTACGAGTGTGTTGGATTTTGAAATTGAAAATGGGGTCTGGTCTGGTATACACGGGATGGGAATTCCCTTCAACACTTCCACTTCCTGTAACATACTAATTCTCTCTTTTTCTCTCTCCCGTCCTCTCCCCTCCCCTGTGTCTCTTCCGAACCCAAAATGTCGTTGCAGGTCCAAAGCCCGGGCCCCCACGGAACGTGTCCGTCACGGAGGTGTCCAACGGATTCCTCATCACGTGGCAGTCGCCGCTGGAGCGGGCGCACATCGTCAAGTTCTACACGATTAAGTACCGCACGGACGCCCAGTGGAAGACGTTGAACCGCGGACAGATACGGCCGGAGGAGACGCAGTATCTAGTGAAGAACCTGGTGGGCGGACGGACCTACTACTTCCGGGTGCTGGCCAACTCGGAGAAATCGTACGAGTCCAGCGACGAGGTGAAGTTCCCCGTGCCGGCACGTGTCAAGCATAAAGCTATAACCGCCGGCGTCGTTGGGGGCATCCTGTTTTTTATTGTTGCGATCATTTTATCGGTTTGTGCCGTAAAAATTTGCAATAAACGTAAACGACGAAAACAGGAAAAAGGTAACACTGAGGCCCAGAGCTAACACACACACTTGAAATGGTTTTTGATGACATTCTCCGATAACTTTTGATAACTGATAACTGATAAATGATAATGATATGATACTGCCTACTGCTAATGATACTACTAAGATGATACTTACTGATGATCTGATCCCTACGATATACTCTCTAATACCAGTAATAACCAGAATAGCGATTGATGATGTGTTCTTGTTGTTGTCTAATGAACCCACTAAATACAGCCACTAACATGGCCAACAGCCCTACAGTGCAGTGCATTGCCTTTTATCAGTTCTGCCTTTTGAGTTTTCACCGACGCCGACAGTATTGGAGTATGGAAGCGCCCCTTCCATTAATCGGCATTCGGGTTACTCGGTTTATTCGACAACAAAAACACATTTGAGACCTGCATTTGAGACCAATGTTCCATTCTGTTCTGTTCTGTTTTGCTGAAGAGTAATCGTAAAAGTAAAAGTAAATTATTTGTGGCAAAACAATCGGAAATTCTCCATAAATTATGCCTGTGTCTGAGCGAATATTTTCGTACATATTTTCGTTGTAGTTTGTTGCAAGTAAAATTCAGTTGCAATTTGGCAAAATTTGGCAAAAAAAAGAGCGTTACTGCAAAATTTCTGTATATAATATTTACATACTAATTGGATTTTGGTTTTATGTTTGCTTTTCCTGTTTGGTTTTCTTTGGTTGTTATCTTGAGTTCTGTCTGGGTCCTTCCCCTGTCCTCCCCTACAATCCAAGACGAACCCAAGACGAAACACTGGTCCGCTGGTCCAGGACTCCCGCCCGTACAGAGTGTAGACAAAAAAAGATGCATTCCCCCAGCTCTTAGTTCGAAATTGGCCATCGCATCAATCCTCAAGTTATCCATTTACGTTTGCATTCCATTAAATTATGTTTTAGTTTCGCATCATTGGCGGATCTTCTGTTCGGGATTACCTGAGTATCTTTTCTTCTGTTCTGACTTCATAGTGCATTTTATTTCTGAAATTCAACGCATGTACATATAAATAGTTATTGCAACTTTAGTTAAGCATTAAGGAGGATTCAGCCGCCAGCAGAAAGACGATAAATCGATTAAGCTCCACCCACGGCCCACGGCCCACGGCCAAGGCCCCAACAGACCCCCGGGCTACTCTCTCTCCCGTGTCCCCTCTTGAAGCGGAAATTGAATATGCCAGGGCCTTCATTATGTTCGATATTCGCTGGATATACGCGTTTAATGTAATCGAATCGAAACGAATCGAGCCTCGTGCCGTACGTGTGTGCATATGGAATATGGAACCGACCAAGCCTCGCTCCTCGTCTGTCTCTCTGCCTTTGTCATTGGTTTTTGCTTTAATCTGTATTTTAAGTGGATTAATTAATGTTGCGTTGTTTAAATCAATTATTTATGTATTCTTTTCGGAGCCACCACACACTTACACACAAAAAAGACGGAAAAGACAGAAAAACAGGACAATTTCGCAGCCCCATTAGCTGTGAAATATTATGTATGTGCGATACATACGAATACACTCGTATTCCACTATAGAAAACACATTGTTTTTTGATTTATTCCTTTGTTCTTTTAACGCTGTGGCAACCCACACACCCACACACGCACACACACACACACACACACACTAGCCACAGACAGAGTGAGAGTGAGAAAAAGAGATACATACGTACATATATACAGAATTAACGTTGAATCTGATAAAAAAAAATAATACCACAAAATACCTTTATCCGCGAATTATATTGACAAAAGCATGTTCTTGGCCAAATCGTCGTTGTTTCTGCCCAGGGCTGAGTTCATGCTGGATAAAGGTATTTCAGAGATGTACAAAATACAATCTACATCTATGTACATGGCGCACAGGCGCTCATTTATATAGGGCACAATACTGGGCAGACGTTTTTTGTAAACAATTCACGCACAAAGATGGTAAAAAAGGCCCGCAATCCCACGTAGAAATTGAACATGGCCAAAAGCCGGAAGACCGAAAGGTCGAAAGCTCAAAAGGCCTCTTCCAAGCATAAAATGATCGCTCCGACAAAAGTCACTGATGATCGGTCCGCCCTGTGCAGATTGCCTTGTGTCCTGCCACATGCCTGCCCAAGATCCTCCCCCTCGTTGTGCAGGTATGTGGCAGGGCCATATCTCCATACAACATGTGGACGCAATGCACTCAGAAAAGGCCCCACCCGAACCCCAAGACCCTCGCAAAAAACAAAAACAAAAAACAAAAAACAAAAAAGAAATAAAAACAACGACACAGCGCGCAAGGGTAAGTTTTTGTTATCATATTAAAAATCGATGTCGTGTGCAACCACCGATCCTGAAGTTACTGACAACAAAACTAAAAGGTTATTTTCAGACGCGTCCAGTCCCTCGCCAACTTAACCAATCTAACAACCAATCAATCAATCAATCAATCAAACAATCAAACAGTCAATCAATCAATCAACCACTATATCACACTGACACAACTGTACTGAATCCACCATGCATACATACATACATACATACAGTGTCATCGATTAACAATCCATACATACGCATACAATCTATCCATCTATCTAGCCATCTGTTATGTCGGTTATGCATAGGCAGATCAAGCGCCCGCCGCAGCTCCACACTCTCTCTGAAAAGTATCTCAAGCACCCGAGCACTCACTCACTCAATCAGCCGCTGCGGCGCAAGCTCATTTCACACACAGATTTCATAATTACTCAAAGGCCACACTTCACACATCCACACACCACACACCACGAACCACACACACCACAAAACCAATACCACTTCTCGTTTCTTGTTTCTCGTTTCTCGTTTCTCCGTTTTTGTATCTGAATCTTGAATCACTTGTTCGTTTTTTACGTTTTCTCGCTCCCGCCCTCGATGGAGAGAGTGTTCTCCGGGCGGACTAACTTTTGTGTCGCCCAACTTTTTGTTTCCGCTTCCGTTGTCGTCCCATAATCAGCAATATTTGGTTTTCGATTTTCATTAAACTTATCCTCCTCTCTGCTCACTCTGTTCTCTGTTTCTCTCTTCTGTTCTGTTTTGTTTTGTTTTGTTTCATGAATGCGCTCCTCATCATCCTCCTCATCCTACTCCTCATCCACTTGTCTGTCTCTCTTCTGTTTTCTGTTGTGGCACAATTCAATTCGTATCTTGACCATTCTCTCAAAAGCCATTTCACGTGTCATTGTTTTTTTTCCAACCATTCGAAGCCATATCCCAAATAAAATACTGCGAAGAGAGAGCACATGGCTGTACATATATGTGTATATACTTGTGTATATACTTTTTGCATTTACATATAGGCGTATATGTGTGTGTGTATATTGTAATTGTATGTGAGGGTCCTCCATGAGTCCATGTGTCTCTCCACGAGTGTGTGTGCGTGCCAGGATTGCCCCGGGTCCGCGTCTCGAATTAGTTTGTCATTGACATCGAATGTCAATGGCCTTCCGCCTTCCGCCTTCCACCTTCCAGCCCCCCACCCCCTCTCGGAAACCCCATCCTCGGGGGCCTCGGGGAGAATTAAGTTTCGATTTAGTTGGGCATTAGATATGCCATTTATTCCAAGTATTCCATGTAGTGACTCTCGTTCCAATTACCGTTTACTCTGACTGCAAAATTATCCCCCTGCCCCCTGCCTCCTGCCCCTACCTACTGCCTCCACTAATTGGCGCCTCCTTGTGTTCTGCTACATGTAATTGCCACACACTATAATCAACATCAGCCCGAACAACTAACAACAACTTAGTTTAGTCATAGCGATAGTCATAGCACTAACTGGTAGCTGGTAACTGGTAGCTGGTGACTGCTCTAACTACTAAATGGTGGCCAGCATATAGCTGGTGGTAAACGCTTTCTGTTCTGCCTCTGTTACCCCTAGTTAATAATCTAGTAGCTGGCTAAAAATTTAAACAATCTCAACTTATTAGCATCGACAGCAGACGGCAGACAGCAGACGGCAGACAGCAGGGGAGTGCATGCAAATGAGTCCATTTCCTCGATACGAGTATAAGCGGATGAATCTGCCATATACATATGTGTATACGTCTATATGTAGAGTGCACTGTAGTATAGATACATCTATATCTGTGTATGTGTCCTGTGCCATGTGTCCTGTGTGTCGTGTACTGTATTTTATTTGCCCGGGATAGGACGGCTCACTCTGCACGCCAAAATTAATTGTAGAAATTATACGTTTACAGAGTTCAACATGGTAGCTTGCAGGATAACGGACGCTCGTAACATTGCAGCCAATGCAGCCAATAATCATCATCATTTGCATCACAATCGCAGTACGGGCTCAATTTCCTCTGGTCAAGTGCCTTTAAAAAAGTGAGTATCCCCCGCATCCATCGACCGAAGAGAGGAGTATTGCCCTCTATCTGAATCTCAATCTCAATCTAAATTGTTCCCTCCTGCAACTGTGTGCGTGTATCTGTATCTATTTGTATCTACACTCTCTCTGATTGGAATGCACCATTCCCAACGCTCCATCGCTCCATCGCTCTCTCTTATAGCAATACTGAACATTACCGTGATTATGAAAGCGTTTTTATAGTTCCAGGTCCATCCTGTCATAATCAAAATCGTAAGCAAACATTTCTCTAACTAAAAGTTCTCTCTTTTTGGTTCCACCTTCCGTTCATTCAATGTTTATTTCCCATTTTTGTTCAGAGTTTACCCTTAGTTGTGTATCTGCGTTTTGCATATTTTGTTCGTCTTTTACGAGTATCTGCATCTAACAATCTGACAATCTCTCTATCAATCCACGCCTTAGGTACAAACAAACCCGAATATCAAGTCTAACCGCCATACTGATTGCCATTCTCCACTGGATCTGGCCACCCGATCGCTGCACCAACTGCCACTCCATCTACAGCTCCCCCACGACCCTCGACGACTGCGACACAGGAACTGCCACTGGGAGGCGCTCTGTGAGCCGCATTCAGCGCAGCCTCGATGGCCGCTTTGTCTTGGATGTGGATGGATCCAAGATACAGGGCTACACGCTGGACAACAACAACATCGACGTAGTGGATGGAGCGCTCTTTGAGCGCCGCAACAGCAACGTCTCCCAGAAGTCCTCCAGCGACGATGGCGGCTTCCTCTCGCGGCGCAACTTCATCACAGCACGGGCCTCCTGGCGTCGTCCCCTCGTGGCATCCTCCAGCCAGCTGAGCCTGCAGTCGGCGGCGGACTCGGCGCGCGGCTTCCTCCAGGGCTTGGGCGGTCTGCTCAAGATCGGGGGCAAGCCACAGCACCAGCCAGCGCACTTTGAGGACGCCATCAGCGGTGCTCGCTACCAGAACGTGCTGCGGCCTACATACAACAGCAGTGGCAGCCACAATCTGTACGGGAATGCGGACAGGAGCCGACCGCTGCACATCAACACCATCAGTGGGGCCTTGGGCCTGGGCCAGCAGCAACACCTCCTCTCGCCGCACCACTACACCCCCTCTAGAATCTCGCGCATCTTCTCCAGCTCCCCGGCGATGAGCCACCTGCACCACCAGCAGCAGTTGCTGCTGAGCGGCGGCAGCAGCGGCTACCCGACGCACTTCAGCGACCTCAGCACCGTCTATCCGCCGAACTCCGCGGAGCGATCCCACAACAGCGGAGTGGGAGGAAATCTCAGCAGTCGCTATCGCTACTACTCGCAGGAGCTGCCTTCGTTGAGAACCATCCAGGAGGAGACCCGCCGCCAGCAGCAGCAGCAGCAACAGCAACAACAGCAACACCAGCAGCAGCAGCCACAGCATCCGCTGGAGGAGCACTTCGTGCCGCTGCAGCTCCCGTCGCCGCCGTCATGGAGGAGCTACTACCACGGACAGCTGCCGTATCACAGCTACAGGCCGCGCACGCGCTGGTATCCGCGTCACTACTCCCGCCTCTTCAGCCGCCAGCAGCACGAGCTGCTTTCGCCCCTCCCCGATCTGAATCTCTCCCTGCGCAACAGCGTGGGCGTGGGGGGGAATGCAGGACTGGAGGCCTCGCCCGAGTCCCGCAGCAGCTCGAGTGGCTTTGGCTCGAAGAACACCTCCAATCACCCGGGCAGTACCAGCGAGTGGCGGCTGCTGCCACCGTACCGTGCCCCACCCTCGCCGCCCAAGCACTTGGGGTACTTTGGGGCGGGAGGATTGGAGGGCAGCCAGCAGGCCCAGGGCCAGACGCCGCACTCCGCCTACTCGTCCTATCCGCGGACCAACACCCCGCCGTACACAATGGCCCACTGGCTGGAAATGATCTCAAGACTGAACGCGGCCACGGACAGCAACCTGCCTGCCCCCAAGGCACCGTGCCCCGTGGACGTCGGCAGCGTCGATGGCCACTACGAATTCGACCCCGCCACACCCACGCCAAGCGCCTCGACGCCCACGGGCATGGGAATGCTGCGCGAAGATCTCAACCATCTGCACATCGATACGCAATCGCATCCGCACTCGTTCCATCAACATCTGCATCATCACCACACCTTGGGGCCTCTGAGTGGCAGCCTGCTGCACGCCCACGCCCCCTCTGGATATAGCGGGGGTTCCGGGAATCGCAAGCTGCGCACCCTGCCCCTGCAACACCAGCTACCGGCGCGCTACGACAACGTGGAGGTGCGCCTGCAGGCGATGCGAGAAGAGTTCTACGCGTACCGCAAGCGACAGGCCATGCAGCAGGCGGGAGTGCCGCCCGAAATGGAGAGCGTTTGCTGAGTGACGGCCCCAGACTCCAGAGTCCAGACTCCAGTCCAGTCCAGTCAAGCATTTAATTAAGTCCCACATGGCATCAACACATCCCCACATGCACACACCCATGAAATGCGCCTCAATGACAATGCAACGGCAAGCACCGCAACTACGATGCATCCATCCCATCAGAGACAGACCCATCATATGCAAGTCGCAGGGGATACGGGAGACGGATGAGCAGCCGCAAGCAGCATGCCATTGCAATCAACATTCAACCGCATACGTAGATGATACATGATACATGATACATAGATGAACATCGGATCAGGCCACACATCTGTGCACGCGTACAGCCATGCCCTTGCCACACATGCCCCTCCCCCCCCACCCTCATCATAGAGATCCCTCAGATATGAACTTTAAAAGTTACCTACCCCCAAAGAGAACCCAAGCAATGAAACAATTAGTAGATTTTACGGGAAGACAGAGAGAGAGAGAGAGGGAGAGAGAGAAGCCAAGTGAATTCCACGCGAGATTTGTAAATACTTTGAGAAGGAGGAGGAGCAGGAAATGGAGATAGAGATAGGGATAGAGAGGGGGATGCAGATGCAGAGAGGAGCCGAAAGTTTAAGTATAATATTTAAAACCTATAGCAATTATAATCGATAAAAGATACAAGATAAAGAATTGATATTAAAAGAAAAATAACAAAGTAAAGAAGAACAAATTACAATTAAATATTATTATTTACAAGTGTATTAGATATTTGAATATTTAACGACACACACACACACACACACACACACTGATTGATATGTTAAACATTCAGAGAGAGAGAGAGAGAGAGTAAGAGGGAGAGGGAGAGCATTAAACATTAAACACTACCACAATCCCAACAAACCCCACAAGCGTAAGCCTAAATTATGTTACAATTAAAAAACAAAACACTAAAAGTACGAGTAAAATCAATACGGAATACGGAATATGCTAGCTGTTAAGCATTTAGTTGTTAAAATTATCGACTATCGATAGCTGAGCGACGACGAGAGACGATGATACGAAGTTAAAAATAAAAACAAAACAAAAACAAATGCTACAACGTATTTAAAAACCACATATAGAGAAATTGTTTCATAATTAAATTATTTAACGACAAAGAGAACCTACAGAAAAACCCTAACAAAGCAAAACAAAATGAATCGAAACGAAAGAAAAAACAGTTTAACGAACGAATTAAATGAAATATAACAGCTGCATATATGTTTACTGTTACTCACACACACACACAAACACACACGATAATTATCTCGAACAAGAATATTTATTAAACGCAAAACACAAAACGAAAACTAAGTAACAAAAACAAAAACCAATCGATTCTTTCCGGTACGATATAGTATATTCACAGTTTGACACACACGACACCCGACACACGACACACGACACACACACACACACACAGCCCAAGACTTGGTCAATTGCGACGCCACTCGACAGTTGAATAAGTTGGTAAGGTGAAAGATACAGATACAATATCTATATGTACAAGATACAAGATACAAGATAGAGAGGAGAGAAATGGGGCCTAGGGTCACAGTTGTGCATAGATCCCGAAGATACAGCTGCGTTTCTGTTTTTTTTTAGGTACTTGTTAATGATAAACGATAAACGATAAATGATAAACGATCAAATTGTACGGAATGATGGTTTGACACAACTTGACGCCAAAACACTGCCAGAGCGAGAGAAGCGTATAGAAGATGTGTGTGTGTATAACGTATGTAAATTACAAAGAAGAATAACAAAAAATACTATAATAATAATAATAATACTATCCATAAAGGTAATACGAATAACGATAACGATAAAGATTTGAAGGGGGAAGGGTTCGATAGAGAGAGAGAAAGAAAAGCAAATCAACTACGAATCAGCCAAGAAGAACTACTCGAATGATCTCAAGAATTTCTATATATGTATATTGTATGTACGAGCATATATTCCCCGTTTTGTTTCCGGACTTCACTTCCCCGACCTTCTGACCTTTCCCCAGATATCCCAGAGTAAAAGTATTGTATTTGCATTAAAGGTTAGGATTACAAAAAGCAAAGGCTGGGATGATTGAAGCGATAGCAAGGGATTGGATGGGATGGGACGGAATCAAGAATGTTGCATAGTCGATGCCTACTTATGTACTTTGTAAATGTTGAGGGTATTCAAGTAATTAAGTTGGTTTTTTTGTATTGCATATAGACAGACACCCACACCCACACCCACACCCACACACACACACAACTGAGAAAACACACACAGAAACACACACACTTAAAGGTTTAACTAGAAATGAAAATAAATAATTTAATTAATTGACGCATTAACGAAACGAAAGCACAAGCGGAATGAAATGGAATGGAAAGCAAGGAAAAGCCAAGTGCGAATCGAGAGTAATTACAGAGAATGGCAGAATAAATTGAATTTTAATTGATTGAAAGAGAAGGAGAAGACGATAGAGGGAATAGAAGGACCGATGAAGGACTTTAAGGCATATACACATGATATATGATATATGATTATGTACATGCTCTCTCTATATATTTATGGATATAGATACTGGATTACTGGATAACTGGATTATGGGATTACCGGATTTAACGGCATGTACATTAAGTAAAGGGAATACCGATTAAAACAAAACTAAGTTAAGTAAATCTAACGCTTTAGTCGTCTGCCACTTTGATTTTTGGACAAGGTGCGACAGACCGTCAGTCTTTAACGTTCACTTTTCGAATCGACTTTCGATGGAAATGAAAGAAGAACACAAATAGGAACACAACTAGGAACTATCAAAACGAAAACAAATGAGATACTTTTGCACTTCCTACTTCTACTTCTACTTCTGTTTCTACTTCGAGACAGCAACATTTCCCTCCCCCTCCCGCCCACACACGAGACCATCTTTCACGTTCGCTTCACGATTCCTCCGAACACCTTTCACTTTCCCCTATTTCCCTATTTCCGCATTGCATTTCCCCCACACTGATTGCAATTTCCAATTCAGCATATATATAAATCGTACAAGGATAAATCAGTTTAGAACGAAATATATTGTAATTAACACGACACACGACACATACACACACACACGACACACACACACACACACACCCGATACACACGACACACACAATTATAATGAGAAATTAGCAAAATGAACAAAATTTTTAAACAAATAAAACTTACAAAAACGAAAGCAAAAGCAAAAAAAACAAACAAAAACCAAAAACAAACAAAAAACGAATAAAAATAAAAAACTTGAAATTGATCAAATAAAACGAAGAAAATGGGATTCTTTCTTTCATTCATTTAGCTCTGAATCGGAATCGGGATCCGAATCCGCAAGGGAAGCCACGGGAAGCCATTAATTGAAAAATGGCTATTTTCTCACATCCACAAAAATATCACTCATACGCCTGCGCGGCCACTGTGAAGGCGATGGCCGCCTGATCTCGGGGCAATTAAACTAATGAAATTTACCAGAAAATGCTATAAAAATAGCTTAATTTTCAGCACGAGAATGCAATCGAATAGGTGACACCCTGCAGTGAGCAGGCTAGAAATTATGGAAGTTTCTTGAAGTGATTCCAATGGAGAATCGACTCGATCATTGACAGAGGGTATCCCCTTTCATGGACTCCAAATAAATGATTTCTGCAACACTTTGGCGATCGCCTAATTATTTAAGTGGATAAACGTCTGCGAAAACGAATTGTGGGGGAGACAGAGGAGACCCCATGCTCGTATTCGTAAGCATTGTACAGATGGATGGATGGATAGATGGATGAATGGATGGACGGCGGCGTGGGCGTGTGTCAAATGTCAAATTTTCAAAAGAAGGGGAGAGTCTTGCTTTGACAAGCCAGATAGAGGGAAAGAGAGAGAGAGAGAGAGAGAGAGACAGATCAGAAGCATAGAAATCATCATCATTCCCGTCAGAGACAGCAGAGTCAGATACAAAGCTCTGACTGAGCCCCAGTTTGCGATCTCGTTCTGCAGTCTGATCGCATTTCATTTTTCAGTAGCGCTTCTCCAGTCGTTCTGTGCAGTACGCGACCCTCAAAAACAGTCCGCAGATAGAAGAGACACTCGCGGTCGATTCGGTGGAGGGAATTGCGCACAATACAATAGATATTCTCTGGTGCGGATAGAAATACGAGATACGAGATATGCTATAGAAGTCCGTGCAAAGAAAAGAAGAGCAGACGCGACGACAATTGACCTGATTTCGGGGCATAGATTTTAATTTGATTTTCACTCTTTGTTTTTGCTGCCACTGCCACAACGCGGAAATATTATGCAATGAATATTACGAGTGAATGAGTGTTCGTGCGTTCGTGTGTGCGTGTGTGCGTGTGCGTGCGTGTGTGTGTGAGTGAGTGTTCGTGCAACTGCCCCAAGTGCAATCCCCCGACACGAGGCACGACAGACACCAGACAGACGGAGAAATGCCATCGTCAGGCACAAGAAGAACTTTGGAAGCCGCGTGCGGTTCGCTGATCGTCGCTTGGCTGGCATTCTTAATGAGTGTATCCTGTACGGGGGGCGCCCGCGATCACCGCCGACAGACGAACCTGGAGGCCAAAGTGGGCTCCCACGTGGTTTTCAGCTGCTACATCGATTTCCCATTCGACTCCCCCATTCCGTATGTTGTGCACTGGAGCAAGGATGTAAGTCACTTGCCCTTCCAGCAGTCATCCATTCGCTCATTCGCTCATTCGTTCACTCACTCACTCACTCACTTATTCATGGCTCACGCCAACGCGCACGCAATTCTTAAATGAAATTGTCCAAATTATTAATTTATCGGACACGTAGGTGGCCTGGACTGACTGGCCTCTACTGGCCCGAACGACTGACATTCCAGCAGACTGACCGACGAATGACCAGCTCGTGTGGGTGGCTGGGTGGTTGGCACGCAGGGGGCAGCATACATATGTAAGCTTGGTTAGCCTTAATTGCGTCTGCTGCTGCTGGGTGCTGGGATGCTGGGATGCTGCATGCAGCCGCCGACTCTGGTCCGGGGCACAGCGTGAAACGAGACTCTCACATTCATTAAAAGGGCTACGCGACCCCGGACTTTATGGCCGTCGCACTGGGAGAAACGCGGAAGCGCCAGCCAGAAGAAAGGGAAGAAAATATTTGGGTGGGTCAGGGGGCTTTCTGCCAGTGAAGCAGCAGCAGCAGCAGCGGCAGCAGCAGCGATTGCATCACGTTAAATGCACACACAGAAGGGCGGCGAGGGAGGGTGGCAGGGTGACCCGACCCCTGGCTACTAATTAAAGCGCAACCACATGCAGTCGATCGAGGCTGCATCCTGGCGTCCTGGCATCCTGGCATCCTGGCTCCTGTCCTATGTCCTTCCTTCCTTCCTTCCTGCCATCCGCTGCGCGGCATTTAAATTTAATTTGAAGCGAAAAACTGATTTCAGTATCACAAACACTTTAAATTACCAACATCATGGGAGAAAACAAAGCTGAAAATAAAAGAAGAAAAGCAGGGAGAGTGTCAGAGTGGCAGAGTGGCAGAGTGTCAGAGTGAAGTGTGACATCAAAGACACACGGGCCACAGAGGGGGGCAGAGACAGAGTGGGGGACGCAGATCCAGCGGCAGAGTTGAAATCAATTTCAATTGGATTCAATCGAATTGAATGGCTGGCATTTTGTTGACAACTGTGAGTAATGCAATTTAATTCAATTGCAAATTCATTGCAGCAAACGCAAGGCTCGCAGCCAGCCGACCAGCCAGACAGCCAGACAGTCCGTCATTCAGTCAGTCAATCAGTCAATCAGCCAATCCGTCAGTTAAATATTCGCGCGTTTGTATTTAAATCAAAGTGAATTACAATTCATCGCCCACGCTCGTCATCGCACCCCCAATACCCAATGCCCAATACCCAGTCTCCACCCACCCTTAAGCGAGGGGCACAGGCGTAGGCGCGGTCGTGGGGCTGCCCAGCTTATGTTTTTAACTATTTAGCCGCTTGCTTAATTTGCCATTCTCTCTCTCTCTCTCCCTCCCTCTCTCTCTCTCTCTCTCTCTCTGTGTGTCTCTGTGTTTTTGCTGGGGCCCTCGCATTGTATTATTGCAGAAAATTCCACTCGGTCAGCGGGTCATGATGTCATTTTGATAGATTCACTTTAATTGCGCTTCAAATTCTGTGTATCTACTCGTATAGTTTCTGTATCTCAGCGGAAGGAAAATAAGCTCGTATTTCGGCGGCTAAGTAATTAAAAAAAAATCGTAGACAAGGTCAAAGTCCATCCAGTAATAATATGCATAATCCATGAGGATTGTCTACGAGAGAGCTCTTTCCCGCTGTTCCGCTGTACCGCTGTCCCGTCGAGAGAAAGAGATAGCGAGAGAGCGAGACTTTCACGGCCGTCGCGAGGCCGTTTTGCACAATTTTCGCGCACGTTGTCCACAAAAAAATTACCGGATAAATCAAGTTACGTTTGTAATTTGTTGGATAATGCTGATAAATGTGGTGTGTCTGTGGCAGACACACCACACAGTTGGGTGTACATAATCGGATGGTATTAGGCATGGGATGGGATTGCCTGCGCTGTGGAATGGTGGGGGTGGGGTGGGCTCTCTTGAGTGCATCGCATAATGCATCGCAAGGCAAGGCGGCATCGCACGTTCTCACAGTCTGGATGTATAGATTGTGATTGGTCGGTGTGTGACATTGACGCCCACTTCGGTCACAGCAACAGAACCAGCCAGCAGCCACCAGCCAGCAGCCAGCAGCCACCAGCGACTGGGCTCTGATGTTTGCGTCTTGATGACTATTTCCCGATCTCAATTAAGGCACAAAGCGAATGTCAATAGATCAACTAACACCACTGGCAGTCATAAGTCTCAAGCGGTGGGGCACACAATTAAACGTATTCCATTGCATCGGCATCAGCTGCAGCAGCAGCAGGAGCAGCAGCAGCAGCAGCTTGGCACTGCCACTTTTGCGGTCACCGGCTATCAATAACCGAGCGAACTAAATCCGTAGCATGCGGTTTTTCCTAGTGCCCCACTGTTCAATGGGGTGCGTTGGTGTGTGCCACCCACTAAAACCCACCAGTCCACCGACGGATAAAAAGTCAAGTGCACAAACAAAAACAAAACGAGCATAAAAATGCCTGCGTTTGTTTAATGCCAAAGCAATTAGAGAGGATGCAACCGCAGCCGCGATGCCGATGCCGATGGCGATGGCGCTGCTGATGCCGCTGCCGATTCAATTGCATTTAAATAATTTAAGTTTAACGCGTGTTGCCGCAGCTTTTTGCTGTGCCTCCATGGCTCCGTGCACATGATGCAACACAAACAAAACAGACGACACTGTTTACTCTCCGGCGATTATTAATATGGTTTTTTGTTTCTTTCTGTTGGTTTTTTGCCTATGCAGCAGATATAATTTGCCAGGCCATATATTTAATAAATATTGACAAATATATTCAGCATTAATTAAAACAGAAATAATTTAATGTGTGCTTCAGCCGCCACCGAGCTGAATTATTGCGACAATCTATTGCCTGCCTCAGATGGTGCTGCACCTCCTCTGGGCCTCAGATGCTGCTGCAGCCATCCCCGTTTTGGGGCACGGTCTACAGGGTACTGTTCCCCGTCGGCTTCCATCTTTCAACGGGCGGTGGCTGGTGGCATTGGTGGCACTTCAAGTGCGCCGCGTGCGCCACGTGAGTCCATTTAAATTTGTCAACAAAGTAGCGGCAGGGCAGCCCCTGCTCCTCCCCCAATGCTCCTCTTTGGTTATTGTTACTCTTGGGGCATGAGTAAGCGGGGGCCTTGGCCACCGCTGTGCCACGTCACATCAGGGCCACACAGCTGCAGCGGCAGTGGCACTGGCAGGGGCAGGGGCAGGGGCAGGGGCAGAGAGAGAGGAGGCGATGTCACAGGCTCAGCGGGAGTATGCGAAAATTATAATGGAGCGTACAGAGAGAAAGACACACCGACATTCGCACAGCCAAGGCTCTGGCAAAGGCTGTGTATCTGCGTGTCTGACAAATGGATTTACTGCATTTGCCTTGTGGATAGAAGATAGAAGATAGGTGACCCTCGCAATCATAATCATAATCACAGATAAAGATACAGATACCTCCACCTCCATTAATGCCATTCGAATGCCTTTTTCCAGAACAAGAAAATCTTCACGTGGTTCGAGAAGGAGACCTCCACGAACGAGCTCTTCAATGGGCGCCTGCATCTCGTCGAAGAGCATCCGGAGTATGGCAGGGCCTCCGTGAACCTCACGGCCATACGGGAGTCGGACCAGGGCTGGTACCACTGCCAGGTGATCTTCCCCAATCGATCGCCCAGCATCCGCAACAATGGCACCCGCTACCACTTGGCGGTGCAGGGCGGCTCCCTCATCCGCATTCCACCCGTGAATCAGACCATCCAGGAGGGGCAGACCGCCTTCTTCCACTGCGTCATGAAGTACCCGGACAACTCGCAGGCGGCTTGGTACAAGGATGGCGTGCTGCTCCAGGAGGTGCAGGATCTGGTGAGGCGCTCCTTCATGGGCCCCGACGGCAGCCTCAGCATCGATCCCACGATGATGAGCGATCTGGGGGAGTACGAGTGCAAGGTGCGCAACAACGAGGGCGAACTGCAGACGGCCAAGGCCTTTCTCAATATTCAATGTGAGTAGATGCCGAGGAAGAGGCTCGACATCAAGACACTCGGGGTACAAAAATCATGCAATCCATGTAATTGGCAAATTCTTCCCCTTTGGTATCCGAAACAGATAAGGCCAAGGTGATTTATGCCCCGCCCGAGGTCTATCTGCCGTACGGCCAGCCGGCCGTACTCGACTGCCACTTCAGGGCTAATCCGCCGCTGAAGAACCTGCGCTGGGAGAAGGATGGGCTCCTGTTCGACTCGTACAATGTGCCCGGCGTGTTCTACAAGATGAATGGCAGCCTCTTCTTCGCCAAGGTGGACGAGAACCATGCGGGCAGCTACACGTGCACACCCTATAACGACCTCGGCACGGACGGGCCCTCGCCCATCATTAGTGTAATTGTGCTGCGGCCGCCCATTTTCAGCGTCACCCCCAAGGCCATTTACATACAGAAGCTGGGCGAGGCGGCCGACCTGCCCTGCGAAGCCATCGACCGGGACGGAAACAATCGGCCCTCCATTGTCTGGAGTCGGGTGAGTGGAGAGGGAGAGCTCCGGCAGTGTCCACTGTTTCCATTTCCACGACCAGAAATGGTATAGAACGGAACACTGGAACACTGTACAGTGGAGTCTGGCTGCAGTTTTGGTTGATTGCATTTTTAATTATGCATGGATCTACCTCTACCTCTACCTCTACCTGTACATGACTCTCTCTCTCTCTCTCTCTCTTTGTGGGTTTTTGCCATGCAGAAAGACGGGCAGCCGTTGCCGCCGGATCGCCACAGCCTAAGCGGCGGGAATCTCACAATCACGAGTTTAATCGAATCGGACCGTGGCATGTACGAGTGCGCGGCGACCAATGAAGCGGCAACCATAACGACGGAGGCCGAATTAATGATTGAGAACATTGCCCCCCGGCCGCCGTACAACCTCACGGCCAACAGCACGGAGACCTGCATCACCATACGCTGGCAGCCAGGTGAGAGATTACAGCACTCGATACTGGTAATGTGGCAGAAGGGGTCTAATGGATGCAGTTGCAGGCTACCTGCGGCCCAACCTCGAGTACACGGTGTGGTATCGTCTGACGGAGGCTCCCGAGTGGCGGACGATGCGCGTGCTGGACAAGAACGTGATGGAGGCGACCATCCAGCACCTGGTGCCGGGCAAGGAGTACGAGTTCATGGTTCTCAGCCAGGACAAATACGGTGACGGGATGTTCAGCAAGCAGTTCCGCTTCCAGACCCAGCGTGAGTCCATCCCGGCTTCCTCCCGAGGGATAGCTATGCCATAATGCCGTTGCCTTCTCTTGCAGCGTCTCCTATTCGAGCGGAGGATTTTGATGACCAGCAGCTGGAGAACGAGCTGGGACAGCTGCCGACCTTTAGCGGGGGATTGGGAGCACCGACGAACCTCAGCGCCATCAGCAACCAGCAGGGCTGGCTGCTCCACTGGGAGCACCCGACTCAGGGACTCGATGGCCTGCGGCTGTACACGGTGCGGTGGTGGAAGGAGCCGGAGCACTATCTCATCGGCCAGGCGGAGACCTTCGACAACTTCTACCAGCTGCGGCACCTGAAGGAGGACACTACCTTCAAGGTGCAGGTGGTGGCTGTGGGCGCCAGCAGCCAGCAGCAGGTCCCCAGCCCCGAGCTGCTCATCGATGTGCCATCGCAGCGGAAGGTGCGGGCCCTGATCATCGGATCGTCCGTCGGCATTCTCTTTCTACTCTGCGCCCTGTGCGCTTTTTTATACGTGAAAAGGAGCTGCCTGCGGCACCTGTTTGCCCGGGACAGCGAGGGAGCAGCCGCCTGCGATGAGGACACTGCCGAGAGCGGGGACTGCGACAGCGACGAGCAGGACAGCGTCAAGATCCGCCAGGCCTCCTGAATGCTACAGATCCGCTGGCGCTTCGATGCGATTGCCAGCGAGGGTTCCTCCCAGTGATGTTCCGTGAGCGCCGTGCTCCGTTTCGTATTCCGATTGCCAGTTGCCAGTTGACGTTGACGTTGCCGTTGCCCCAATAATGCATTACCCCATAAAATACTGACTTTTTAATTTATGTCTAGCTGCTATCTGTACTATAAATTCTACTAATTGTAAATGCGGTTCGAATCTGAGCCGAAATTCGAAATAAAATAAATAAATCAACAAAAAGAATCAACATTTCAAAAAGCCCGCCCGATGGGTAGCACTTTTCAAGCGCTATCTATCCCTCTCTGGCGCGTGCAAGCAGGACAGCAGTATGCACGCATGAAAGCTCATTCCGGTTGAAAGAGCTTTCGCCGTTCAAATGTTGGCGGGAAAACATGTTGCTCTCGAGCTGGGACGAGCTTTCAGCGTTAAAAGGTTTGAACGTTATGTTACGGTTGGCTGCATTCAAAATTCAAACGACCCTACGAGGTCCGCCGAGGACAGCTGTCCTCCCACTCCATCGCTCCATCACTCCATCGCTCCATCGAACACGCAATCGGCAGAGCTTGTGCGTCACATCGTTTAATGGGCAATTGACAAGCTCGTATCCGATACGGCCGTACGTATCCGATATGGCTGCATCCGAAATGGCGTTCGTTGAGTGCATCCGTCGGTGCAGCCAGAACGAAGCCAGAACAACTGTCGTTCCGACAATTCATTCATTCGTTTGGCCGATTAGGAATCGAGGGGAAAACACCTGGAATGCACCCAAAAGTACTTGCATCGTGCTTGGATCCCATTAAGACGTTCCTATGGTTCAATTGATATAACCCGCGTAAGCCGCCACCGCCGCCGCCAACTACTTTGCACTCGCACCGCTTTGATGCCATTCAGCAGTGCCTGCCCCATGAGACGACCCAATTTTCAGGAGGTCGTGTGGCACGAATTAGAATTTGCACCTGAAACGAAACGAGACGAACGCGAAACGAGTCAACAAACTCGATGAGACACATCGGCCTAATGAGGCGTCAGAAATGATATCGGGGGTTCGGCATCGCCTATCGTCCGTTGACGTCGAATAATGTGGAATCGAATTTGCGCCGATTTAAAGCCAAAACAAGCACAAGAACAAAAACAATAATAAGGAAGGCGAAACCCATGAAAATAAAACAATGTACAGCCACTGCTGCTGCCACTGGTTCTGCTTCTGGTGCTGATATGAGTGTAAAGTATTTAGTGGCTTATATTATATTAAGGTCATTGCGATTAGACGATTAGTCCCCTGCACTGCGCATTTCCACGGACGAGAGGGAGGAGTGGAGGGGGAGGTGGAGGTGGAGGTGGAGGAAAACACAGCACAAGCTCACGTTCCGACTTGAGCTTTGTTCTCTGATTGCAAAAGTTGAATGGCGAAAGGCCCCCCGCCCGCCTTTTTCGGGGGACGGGATGTGTCTCTCAGGGGTGGGGCATATTGCTCACTCGCAGATATTACTGCTCCTCGGGCTACTCAGAAATCTGAATTGTTCTGCTTTGTTCTGTGTGATCGTGTCGGTTCAAAGGTCACAATTATTCCAGACGGGAAGGAAAACAAGCAGAACTGCTACTGATCCTCCTCCCCGTATACACCGTCCCTGCCCAGGCCCCTCCGTTTGATAATTCCAAGCAAAACTGCGAGCAGCAGCAGCAGGGGGGAGTGGGAATGTGGCGACTGCGAAGTGCATCTGCACTCAGTCACTCACTCGTTGGTGCTGCTGCATTGGCCACGGGGCTGACTGCTTTGTCTGTTTACAGTCAGCTGTTTGCCACACCAACGCACATGCCTCACATGCGCAGCTACCACTCACACAGATAAGCACACATGCATACGCACACGCACACACACACTCACACTCCCAGAGAGCTCTGAGCAAGTAAATTGTATGGCAACATTACAATTGAACGCTAGACAAAGACGAAGAGAGAGAGAGAACATGCGACGACGACTTGCCCATTGACGAAACCCAAGTAGTATCGTATCCGCTCTATGCCGCACTCACACACACACACACACACACACACACAGACATAGGAGAGAGAGACAGAGAGAGATATCGAAAGAGAGGCGACTGTTTCTCAGCTGCTTCTGCTGCTGCTGCTGCTGCTGCCGCTGGTGCTGCTGTTGGGGTCGTTTTCGTCTCGCAGCCAAACAGCAGCTCCCGCATTTCACAGTTCTTCGTCGTTCGCGCTGGTTGTTGCCTCAGATTGGGGCGGATCGGACTCCACTCGCGCTGCTGAAGAAGAAAAAAACACGTTTCATACCACCTTGGAGCCCGAGTCTCAGCTGTATTTCAGAACCTCCTCCTTCCCCCTCCTGAGAATAAAAGACAACAAACATAAACGTATCCGTGAGATCCGTGAATATCGGGCGTTGTTTGTTTGAGAGCCAGACGAGTAATATATAAAATACATATAAAACGCGCGATCGAGTGTTCCTCAAACCCAAAAGAGAGGCGGCAACGAAATAAATATCTCTGGCAGTGGCCAAAAAAAAACATATAGGTAGTATAATGCTAATAAAACCGAAAACAAGTTTTGTGCTGTGCCCGTGCCCGTGCCCCTGCTGCCGCTGATGTTCTCGGAAAAAACATTCGCCATCATCCAAAGGTGAAGCCACATCAAGAATTACATTTAAATTCGAATAGAAATTGAAGTACTAGTGCGCGTTTATGGTGCGGAAATTGCGTCGCTGGTGATTGAATATACATACTCATACGAGCACGAATGGTACTCATTGTGGCTTAGGTCTCTAGCTTCCGTTCTTCCGAGCCGAACCCTCAAAACTCTTGCAGTCGCACTTTCCCGCTGTCGTCGAAGCCACCCCGAAACTCTGTAGACTCCGGAGGCGGTAAATAATAGCACGCCGTTAGCTGTCGTACCGCTTCCCCTTCCACACGCCCGCACCGCCGCACCACCGCACCACCGCACCACCGCCCCACAGAACCACAGCAGTCCGCTCTACGGGGAAAAGTCATATGTATCTTTTAATGTTTTCCTGCCGCCTCTATCTTTATCTGGCGAGAGCGCGTGCGCTCTCTCTTGCTCCCGCAGCACTCCCCTCGCGCCCCCGTCAGACCTCGGGCTGCGAATCGCAATCTGCTCTCTGGCGATGAATGTTTTTAAATGTTTCCATCGCCCGCGATTCGTTAGCACACGAATAAAACGAGCAGCCGTGGAGCAAAAGCGGGTCGAATGTGTCTTTCGCAGTGGAGCAAAGTGGAGCATTCGAAAGATAGGTCACAGCAGCATCAGCAGCTAGCAGATTCTTCGGCTGCCAGACATGACCTACATCGACTGGCGTTAGGGTAGGACCTCTTCGCGTAGGTCATCCAACCACCGCCGCCGCCACTCCACACTACACGCCATCCGCACTTCTCTAGAACTCCTCTGCGAGTTCTTGGACCCCGCGAAATTCCCCAACCCGTCAGTCCATCAGTCCATCAGTCCATCGGTCCTCCTTCCGCTGATTCCGTCGATTGCCCGATTAGACAACTTTTGCAGCTGTGCGGCGTGGCCTGAGCAAAATGCCGGCGCCTTTCGCCGATAAGCCGCCGCCTTCATCCGTCGACAGATGGTAAAGCATATATAGCAATAATTGGCAGATTAGGGGTCCGGTCCGGTCCCTTACATCGCCGATTAACGCGTAAGGGAGCCAAAGAAAGCCTATCTTATCGCAGCCCATCGAGCTCCAAACAAATCTGTAATAAAACCTCGTACTACACGCTCGTACAAAGTGCTCCCAGAATACGCGACTACGCTGCTCCCAGCACGCTGAATACTCATAGTTAGCCGCATGAAATCTTATCGGACTACCGGCCACCTGCACAATCCTCCTCGGCTCCTGCTTCTGTCTTGGGTGCAGGTAAACCGAGCTCCTGCTTTACGGGTGGTGTGGTGTGGAATGGTCTAATGGCCTTCAGTTCTAGTTTGCAGTGCATTTCCACTTGCAACGCCCCACTGTCCAGCTACAGCTACAGCTGTTTTAGCAGCTGATCTGCCCTAGGGGCCAGCGGCAGGGGCAGGGGCAGGGGCAGGCAGAAGAGTGTACTCAAAGCTTGACATTGAATTTATCGCCTATCGTTTACATGTTGTGGCCTCCTCTTATTCGTGTGCCTGTGCCCCATTGTGTGGCAATTAGAGATACACCCATGCTGAATAGCTGCTATTGAGAAACGTATTGTAAGAGACCTCCATCCCTCCAGTGCCCAAAGAATGTCAGCTCCCAGTCCGTCCCCCAATTGTGATGTAATAATCGCCCACTCGCCCCAGTCTGAAGACTGAATGGACCTCCGCTCTGTCTGGGCTTGAGTGTATGCTCAATCAATCAACACAAATTATGTGCCACAGAGATCAGCGCCAGAGGTGACTACAGTAATTTCCCTTTCTTTACAGCTGCCGCAGCGCCAGAGCCACAGAAGCCCACAGCGAACCCGAGAATAGATACCTATTCGTAGTACTTCCCAGCAGATGCCAATTCCGAGCAACGAATGTGATGCGTGAATAGCAGGCAGGAGAACTCCAAGAGAATCCCAGAGAGTCACAAACCAAAAAACCAAAAAGTAAAACCAAATCCGGAATCACAAATCAATATTCACATAGAAACACGAAAGAAAGAAAGCCAAATGCTGACGCAACCGAATGCCAATTGCAGTTGCACGAACTGAACGGATACTCAATTCTGAAACACACAGACACACACACACACACAATGGACGACCTGCAGGCCTCCATTGTGCCCCTGGTGGACAAATGCTCCTCCACGAAGGCAGTCATACTGCCAGCAACAGCAGCGACAGTCACAGACACAGACATCACCGCAACAGCAACAGCAGCAGCAGCATCACAGCCAAATGCCGTGCTCTACAAGAGCAGCAACAACAGTGCCACGCTGTCAACGCTCTCCCTGAGTCCCACAACTAATCCTAATCCCAATTCCACTCCGAGGGCAGAGCCCGTGCCCCTCCTGACGCCGCTGCAGAAGATGACCAACGACCTGAAGCAGTGCAATACCAATGCGAACCACGGGTGAGTCCTGAGCTATCCTCTTTTTTTGTTCTATTCCCTCTAATGGCATTATCTGGGATTATGCTTGAGTCGGGGGTTGTGCTCCCCAAGGATTACGAGGGGGAATTCCTTCTCTTTATGCAACACAAACAGTGCACGAGATACATAGGGGGGGGAAACAATGGCATTGTCCAACTTAATCACATAGCC